CTGACTGTTGCAGCGGCCTTGACAACTTGTCTGCAGGTGACATTCTTGAGCATAGCAGGCGCTGTTCCTACTCTGATGGAACTCAGCATGATCTTGAGCTGCGCCTTCAAGAATCGCACAGCTGTTTCCGCGCGGTTCGGCCATGGTGTGTTCGGCCCAAGCGAAACGGGTGTGCTGTCAAGGTACTGATAAAGGGGTTCCCATGTGTCTGTCACGACGGCCTGATCTCCAACGACTGTTTGGGGCTGCAAGAGGTACGGGCCGAAATAGTTCCTGAGGACGGTGATGTTCTCCAGTTCTTGCGTTGTGTTCACCGCCGCCGCAGTGAGCAACGTCGTTGCTCCATCCAGAACGACAACTACGATGATATGTTCTCCAGTTCCGAGAGGAACTTGGCAGTGATCAATAAAAGCCATTACACCGAAGGTATCTTATCAAAGTCCACTCATTCTGCTTCTTGGTGGTGCTTGCTTAGCTGGCTGCTTGGCAAACTTCACGTCTACTTCGAGCCTTCTCGAAGAGGTCGTAGCCTGATTTTGGTAAGTGAAGCGCTCGTGTTCGAAACCGAAATGGGTCGGTATTCCTGTAACGGTGCTGGAGGTGAAGCTTCTTCAACTCACCTAGCTGCGACAATCGCTTGATGGTTCTGCCTAATCCAAGTGGAAGTGACGTTGGCTCATCAACTGATGCTGCAGGAGGATCTGGCCTTGTGGTCGACCGGCCCGATTTGTCGATTATCCTGTCCGCTGCTGATCCTGACTAGGTTTCTTCTTCATCCTTTAGAGAATTCTCTTCAAATTTGAAGGCGAGCTTGCCTCTCCACAGGTTCACCATCTGGTGTTCCTTTTGTTGCGCCTATCAAATGTGTGTTGCGTTCTCGGCTGATCTTGGACCGATTGGACATTCCTTCCCTCCTTTCGGTGCGAACAGCGCTGTGAGCGCGAGTGAGTTGTTTGTTCTTCTTATCAAGAACCCAACGATCCTGCTTCACTGATCCAATGATCTTGGGAGTTGCTGTGCCCTCTGTTGCTGAAGACGTGGAAGCACATACAACTTCTGATGTCGTAGGTCTGATGGAGGATTCTGCAGCTTTGCCGCGCTTGCAAGGTTGACGAGAGGACCTGGCGCAAGGTCCAGTTGACCTTGGCTGATTCCCCCTTCGCAAAGTTTCTTCCTTGGTCCGATGGCCGGTGTAATCGCTGGATCGTGCACCAGCTTCCCATGTGTGCATCCGTTGCCGAGGGTTGCAAAAGTCGTTGTCACACTGTCTCGTGGGTTTATGACCGGCGCCATTAGTTTTGTTGCTAGCTGGCTGCGGTTGGTCGTCGCTGAGAGGTTGTGAGCAGAAGCTGTATCATCGTGGATCAGCTTGTCTTTGGTGGTCTCATTGTCCTGATGTTGAGAAGCATCATGACTGGCCATCGTCGCATGGCCTTTGCCTGTTCCCCCATATGCCAGGCCGTAAGGATTCTTCCTGTTCGTTGACCGCATTGGCCTTGCCGCCTGCGCTGCTCCTTCAAAATGTCTTGAGACCGCCTCGTAGGCAGTTGCTGTTTTTGCCCTTTGATGCTCCTTTTCTTCGCGTTTGCATCGTGATGTTCGAGGACCCAGAGTGTCTCCTCATCCCCATTTCTGCTCCCCCTTCCGTCTTCGTCTTCAACCCCAAATCCTCTCCTTCGGACACCCCTTCTTCGAGGATGTAGAAGATGTTCTGCCGCGAGCCTCCGTGGGCAAAGTGAGGTCCTGGTCGCGACGAAGAGGTCTTGATACTCTGTTTCAGCATCTCGTACATGTAATTCTCCAACGGGGTGTTCCTTAAAGACATTGTGAAGAAATATGCAACGAGGCTGTGTCAGTGAGCGAAAACGCGTCTCGGTGTCTCCGCTGCGTTCCATTGCTGACACTGTGTGCGGCTCTTGTCTGCTTCGCGCCTTGCGCTGACGACGCCAAGCTTCATATCCGCTGGCTCTTGCTCCTTATGTGTTTGCAGACAAGCAGGCAGCGCTCAGGCAAGCCCAGTGCAAGAAACTGATCCACGAGTCGCAACAACGACATCAACAATAACAACAACGACAGCGACAACGACAACAACAACAACGACAACACCATCACCACCACCACCAACCAACCAACCAACCAACCAACCAACCAACCAACCAACCAACCAACCAACCAACCAACCAACCAACCAACCAACCAACCAACCAACCAACCAACCAACCAACCAACCAACCAACCAAACCAACCAACCAACCAACCAACCAACCAACCAACCAACCAACCAACCAACCAACCAACCAACCAACCAACCAACCAACCAACCAACCAACCAACCAACCAAACAACAACCAACCAACCAACAACAACCAACCAACAACAACCAACCAACCAACAACAACAACAACAACAACAACAACAACAACAACAACAACAACAACAACAACCAACCAACAACCAACAACCAACAACCAACAACAACCAACAACAACCAACAACAACCAACAACCCAACAAAAAACAACAACAACAACAACAACAACAACAACAACAACAACAACAACAACAACAACAACAACAACAACAACAACAACAACAACAAGCAACAACAACAAGCAACAAACAACAACAACAGCACAACAGCAACAACAACAACACAACAACAACACCACCAACAACAACAACAACAACAACAACAACAACGACAACGACAACGACAACGACAACAACGACAACGACAACGACAACGACAACGACAACGACAACGACAACAACAACAACAACAACAACAACAACAACAACAACAACAACACAAGCAACAGCAGCAGCAGCAGCAGCAACAACAACAACAACAACCGCAACAACAACAACAACACCAACAACACCAGCAACAACAACAACAACAGCAGCAGCAGCAACAACAACAACAACAACCGCAACAACAACAACAACAACAACAACAACAACAGCAACAGCAACAGCAACAGCAACAGCAACAACAACACCAGCAACAACAACAACAGCAGCAACAACAACAACAACAACAGCAGCAACAGCAACAGCGACAGCAACAACAGCAACAACAACAACAGCGACAGCAACAACAGCAACGACAGCAACAACAACAACCACAACAACCACAGCAACCACAACAACCACAACAACCACAACAACACCAACCGCAACCACATCCACAACCGCAACCACAACCGCAACAGCAACAGCAACCGCAACCACAACCACGACGACGACGACGACGACAACGACAACGACCACGACCACGACCACCACAACAACAACAACAACAACAACAACAACAACAACAACAACAACAACGACAACAACGACAACAACAACAACAACAACAATACCATCACCACCAGCAACAACAACAACGGCAAGAAGAGCTGCAAGATGCTGCAAGATGCTGCTCTGCGAAGAGGCTCCTTGCTCACGCGTGCAAAGAGCCGCTTACGCGGGTATTGTGGCGACGCACGTGTTTGCGGAAGGAAAGGCTTGAAGCTTTCAGCCAGGCAGGTGTCGCCAATTGTGCTGCAGTGGCAGGCCGCTGCTTTGTAATGCGCAGAGCGGGCGCTAGACCAGCTGCCACGACGAAGCCAGCCCGTCAGAATCGCACGTTTTTTCCAGGCTTTGCCACGAAGCGTCTCAGGGTCCAACGCCCCACCTGTGCAAGGTGCTTTTGAAAGACAGCTCCCATCAGCATCCCAAGCATCGCCCGCATTGCCCGCATCACCCGTGCAAGCCCGCAGGTCCACACGCGCAAGTCTGCAGACCCAAGCCCAGCCCCCAAAAACAAACACAAAAGCACCCGCCAAAAGCAGATGATACAGGTAATGCTCATCATTTTAATCTCCTCGTTTCCAAAAAACAGAGTGAGTTTCCTCAAGCAAGGCAGTTTTGCCGAAAAGCATCAGGTGGGAACAGAAAAAAACATGCCAAATGAAAGAGACATGCCACATGAAGATCCAGGCCTATATAGAAGAGAGGCAGGATACACAGCAGCACCAATAGGGCCGCTTGTGAGCCTTGAAAGGCACGCCTCAAAAAGGTTGCAAAGTGCTCCAAATTGCGACGGGTGTCAAACGTCACTTTTGAATCCTTTCCGGAAGGTAGAACTTAGTAAGTTTGCATTCTCAGACTTAGCTTCTGGGAGCAGCATGTGTGCCAGGAGCCGCTGTCCTTTGTGCGCCGAGTTCTGGTCTCGGACACCGCTCGGGCAGCTGCTGATCAGGCCCTGGTGCGCGAGCAACTTTTGTGGAAAATGTCCCGGCAGCTGCTGATGTGCCCGACTCCGGCACGCTGTGGCGGCTTTCAGGCGATGAAGAAGGTGCGGGCCGTGCTCCGCGCGGCCAAGCTACTGCAATCTAAAGTGAGCCTGCACTTGTTGCACCAACATGTGGAGGAGGCCATTAACCGGAGAGAGCTGCGCAGGCAGGAGGGCAGCTGTAGCCGACACCATCGGCTCAAAAACTTCTGGCCGCAATTCCACAACTCCTCCCGCTTTGGCACTTTGGTCGCGCGAAACTTGATTGGGGACCTGGTGCTGCCAGAGGTCAAGGGTGTGCACACTGCATCCAAGAAGGGCCAAGCTGGAAATCCCAAGAAGACGTTGGATTGGAAATCCCGGGGGGCGCGCAGCCACTGCTCGGCGGGATCCTGGAACTGGCTGCCCAAGTTGGAAGTGAGTGAGGCGAGTGCACTGAAGCAACAGTCCTCTTCCACTTCCCGATTGACCCCTTTGCCTGAGGCCCGCTCTCCTTATGCCAAGGAATCCAATGCCTGCGGCTTAGGTGGCTTCGTGAGGGACAAAACCGATATTTTCCCCAAGCTCGTTGCTGAGGGCAGGCCGCACTCCCTGCTTCCAAACAGTCAGGACGTTCCAGAGACAGCCCTTTTGCTGAAAGGGAAGTTCCAGCGCCCCTGGGATTCCGGGCACGTCGTCCAATCCTTGTCCACGAAGCAGTATTTGAGTGCGTGCAATCGAGAAGGGCTCTTACCATCAACTGATCCCTTCGTGACAGGCCACTCGGACTGCATCAATGCCAAGGCGCAGGGCCTGTCCGACCGAGACCTCTTTGCCATCTGCGAGATGCTGGAGATGGGCTCCCCTTTGCGTGAATTGGACCTGGAGGGCAACGCAGGGATTTCCGAGCGGGCCTTTCTGCACCTTTTCAAGCACTTGCAGGCTGTGAACCCAAATGGATTTGCATGAAAGTGTCAACCATGCTTTCACCCATGTACTGTTGCCCCGCACCATTCCAATCTGCAGGATTCTAGAATAGGGAATTCAGTTGTTTGATTTGTTTCGGGAGTTTTGTTTTGCTGGGAACGGAATTGCAAGCTGTGTTTGCGCCGATTCGGCGGCCAAAACAGGTTAAGCTCCGCAAAATTGCTCCGAGTTTAAGACTTTGGAAGGTCCAGGACTTTGGCAATGATGCGATCTCTAATAAGTCTGACAGAAAGTCTCTAATTTGCCCTCAAAAAGTCCGCGCCCAAGTGTAACCCTCAGGCCAAGCCCGCGGAGGCGCGGAAGGTTTGCGAGTTGGAGAAGCTGAGCCTGGCAGGCTGCGTCGGCCTGGTGCAGGATGAGCCCTTTGCTGGTCTGATACAACTCATCTCCTGTGCCATGGCATGAATCCATGTCACTGTGCTATCTAGGATTGTTGCTGGAACAGCGCGACTAAGGCGCGAAATCTACTAGGGTCGCTACAAGGGTCGAACTGCGGCTGACCAGGCAGACGGTTTTTGCTCCCTTGAAGCCCCAGACTCTTTAACCATTAATCAGGGTTTTTGCAGGATCTTCTTCCATTGACTCTACGAGGAGGTGTTGCTTTCAGATCAGCTCAAAGATCTCCAGGTCCGCGGCTGGACGGCCTGCAGATCCTCAGCTTATCGGGCTTGCCCATCGGCGTGAAGTGGCAGGTACCTTTGTGCAAGGCCCTTCGCAGCCACGTGTCCATCCGCCAGCTGTCGCTGGCGGACACCGGGCTCGGCACCCACTCCTCCTGCGAAGATGACACCACCATGGTGTGGCTCACCTCAAAATCCGAGAGAAAGAGATGGGACACTGCGAGCCAGAAATTGCCCCCTGTCCATTCTGTACACAGTTTTGGGTTGAGCGCCTTAGTACCATCCGTTGATTATGACTCAGTTGTCAATGCTGATCATTTTCCCCGGACTGTTGCCAGGATCCCCTAGATCTCCCGTAGCATTGCTTTGGCCAATTTTACGGAAAGCTTGGGGCATAAACCATGCTAAACCAACATCATGCTCGGAGTCCCGTGCCATGAGGTTAGCAACGGGCATAAAGTGGTGTTAGTTTGAACACGAGGTGCATGTTTGCTCACTGAGTCACGTTAGCACTTCGGCAAGCTGGACCTTCTTCGAAAGAAAGAGCACGTCAGATTTGTTGGGGAACAGGGGTGCTTTGATCATGCTTGTAGAAAGGGCACCGTGTTGGGCAAGTCGGGGTTCCTGCTGGATGTCGCAGAGTTGCGGAAGAGGCGCAATAGGCAGATCAGCGTTTTGGGGCAACCCTGAAGAATCTCAACCCAAATGCAGCCACCCTTTCAAATTTAAGCTCAATTCTGCTCTGAATACGGCTCAAGCTCTCAAAGCTTGCAAGACCCATTCAGAATCAATTCCACAAACAGTAACACCGGGGCTAGACCTTGAGCCAGCCTGAAAATGCATGAGGCGGCTTTTTGTTGGTGCCTGAAATGGAAGCGCAATGCCCACAGTAAACACTTGCTCATTTGACCCCCAGCAAACTCCTTTGGCCGCAAACCCAAAGCAGGCCGGGGAGTCAACTAAAACGCAGGCATTCTCCTGTGCGGTCGTCTTAAAGTGGGGAAAAGTTTTGGGATGGATTGAAAGGTAGAACAACATGAAATCTGGAGGGATCCAACTCATTTCAAGTCACTTGTTTGGAAAATAAGGACCCATCCTAAGACTTAAGCAAAGTGTCCTTTTATGTGTCCCTTGATTTGGGCATGCCCCAAACGGGTTTGCTGGGGGTCCCTAACATCGAAACAGCGGCTCGCCCAAATGGGACACCATCGCTTTCCAAGTCGAGGTGTGTCGTGGAGCTGTTGAGCAGCAAGAGCATCGCGCAGCTGGATCTGAGCTGGAACTGCATCGGCCAGGCGGCTGGCAATTGTTTTGTACCTTTTGTTGGAAGGTTAACACTTGTTAGTAGTTGGTACTCCTAGTTGGAACCGCTTCTCTTTTGTTTGTACCCCCTTTTGTCAGAAATTCAATGGACGCACTTTTTGTTGGGCCAACCCAGAAAAAGAAAGAAACAACAGTTTTCCTTGGTGTTCAAGATCAACCAAAGCGAACCGCGAGGTTGTAATTAGTTGACAAGTATGGTCTTGTCTTGGGAGCCTCAAAAGGATCTTTACTTAACACCCTGCAGACCAACTCGTGATGACTATGGGAACGAGCAACCCTTGTCAAGGAGTGTGGATAAAACTTTTGACCCTTGTTTCGTGGGCAATGCTTTAAGGGTTCTGACTGAAGGCAATGTAAGGGGCGCCTCTAGCAACCGATGAACGGCCCGTTAGCAAGAGTTATGTTTTGCGCCTGGCCATCATTCCTTCAACATGTGCAAGTTTAAGTGTTCATCTACTCTAGATGGACGTCAACAACGCAAATAAAAGGAGTTTGGGTCTAAGATTCCATGACTCTTAATGTTCTGTCATGATGTTTCCCTTTTGGGTGCTTTTCGAATATTTCGGCTGAGGGGGACATACATTGAACCCGGAGCCGCACTGGCTCGGCCGACTTTCCGGGGATCAGGCGGGATTCGACTTCTTGGGTCAGAAGCTCAATGAGCTGGGGATCCTTGAGAAGTTGGACTTGTCTCATTGCTCCACGACGCTTGTCCCACACGGGCAGCGAGGTCGCCAAATCGGCGGTTCTATTGATTGGGGGTTCTATTAGTTTATTGTTGCCAGAGCAGAAAGTCGATCGTTCGTTTGGGCGCGTGTGTTTTCTTTCTTCGGTTGCTTTAAAGCAAGACTTAAGGGAGACTACGTATTTCAGTGGTTCACCACTTCCACTTTGGAGACAACTACCATTTTTTTCTCGTCAGGCCTCTCTCCCCCTTGTTTCATTTCTTGGCGGCCTGAAGCAGCGTCTCATCGGCAGCAGGTTTTGAAAGATGGAGCTAAGCAAGCTAGACACTTGCTTGATTGAACCTTGACGCGGGAAAACTGTCCTGAGCAAGTGTCTTGTCGAAATTTAGGCCAAAGCAATCAAGTCCACCCACTTTGAAGGGCGATGAGCAGGATTGAATAAAGCTTGGGCAGGTTGGCTTTAGCCAAGAAATGAGTAGCAACAAAACAGACCTGAAATTGCTTGGCCAAGTATCCCAGGCTGTCCAAGAAGTCCTGGACGTCCTCTGCGGTACATTTGCTGGAGCACTTGCGGGACAACCAGTCCCTGCAGAGTCTGTCCATTGCGGGGAACTACTTGGACTTTCGGGCGGCGCTGCTGCTCGAGGACTCTCTGGAGCAGCTGGGTCAAGGGGCCATGAGCAGGCTGCTCATTGCCTACCATGGGGCCATGTTTGGTTTTCGGTTCCCGTTCTTGGAAGAACGCCATGGCCATTTTAGCAACGGTTGACGGTTGGCCACGTGCTGAGGTGGCCGGTAAAGTCAAGGGCTCCCCGTTGGAAGGAGTTGCAAAGTCAAGACAACTTGAATGTAAACTCATTGAGTTCTATTGATAGAACTGTCACTCAATGTTAGCCGTTCTAGCTGGAGGAACACGGAACGATGTGATGGCGTACCACCTGTTGGACCCACAGATGTGTCTACGGGAGTTTAGCCAGTTGCCCCAAGTTGACTGTGACCCCCACTTTGGGCCTGACAATTGGGAGCTTCGCAAAACTCCCCGCAAAAGGGTCGGTTGCTGTTTGGTTTCTTTTCCGCACCCAGCAAGATTGCGGTTTCCTTCTAGAAGCATTCTGACACATCACATTCGGAGAGTATGACATGATTTAGGTACAACCTGACGCTGCGGCAGCTGGACGTGTCAAACAACAGCCTGGGTAGCCCGGGCATGCGGTCCCTGCTGCGACTGCTGGCGCGAAGTACCTCGGGCCTGCAGAGCTTCAACTTCGAGAACTGCTCCAAGGGCGCCATCCGGGACTCCCGCTCGGACATGCAGGAAAGGGCTTAAGTTCATTAAGTGAGTCATTAATGTTCACTTAAGCCCTTAATGCTTGGAAAGCCGAAAGGCCTCAAGTGAGCAATCTTAACAAGGTTCCCTCTATTTTTGGGCATGTCCATTCCAACTTTTAGCGTGGTTGGGAAAGCCATAAACAAGGCCAGTTGGCCAGTTGGCACGAGTGTCAGGTTTCCACCACGTTTGTTGCTTGTGTCTAAATGAAGTTCAAAGATGTTGAAGGGAACCGCCGGAAGATGGCTGCTGGATCCAAAGTTGCCACTTGCGTAGGCAACGTTCGACCCCCTTGCGGTCCTTTTTCACAGAACTTGTTGCGTGAGATATGTTATGAAGCGGCAGCTTTCAATGTCTTTCTGGGTCTTAGAGTCTTTCTGTCGCAGGTCTTTCGAGCTTCAAGGCCACATGGGCGCTACGAACTGGATCTCTCGCGACCTTATGACCGCACTTTGCTGCGGATGCTTTACAAGACCTCGGACCGGCTGGGGCTGGGATTTGACCAGACCTTCCGAGATATCTCTGCGGAGGGCTTCAGTCACCCCCCGAAGAGCTCCCAGGGGCTGTATCAGATACCGCAGGCGGGCAAGGTATGGATGACCTTCACCATGGACAAGGTCCTGGAAGATCGAATGGCCGCGCAAGGGGGAGCGGATTTCTTCTCGTTGATCCGGTGCCATTCAGAGCTCCTCAGGATCAAACCATGCCGCTCCACCCTGGTGGCTTTACTGGCTCAGTGGAAACGGATGGAGGGATTGGGGGAGGATCAGAGCATCATGATCGATGCTTTGTCCAAGGACAGGAGGTCTCCCAATGGTTCATTAGGAAAGGGCCCGATGCCAAGGGGCAGGTAATCAACAGTAGGCAATCAACAGTACACTGAGTACACCTTGGTCCCTTGGATGATGTTGGAATGTAGCAAACAAGACCACCAAGGGCCTTGAGCCTCAATGGCGTCAAGGAAGGATTGCTTGAAGGCCAATCACTCTGGAAGCACAGAACAAACAGACATGTAGCGTTTAATTACTGAACGCGTCCGTGCGTTTTGCCATCCATTTCCATCAAGAGATCTACGCTCTTTTGACTTGAAGCCCGCTCTGGGTTGCAGACTGCTAATTCTGCCTTAAAATGTTACTGAGACACTCTTTGTTTGCCCTTGTCCGTGTGGAACGGACTGCCTACCTCAGGCTCAGTTGCGTTGCCCATGAGAGAAAAAGCATCATATCTTTGAGGTGTCAAAAAAATGTTGGCTGAGATGGCATTGTTTGTTGGATGCATCGTCTTGCCTGCGGTTGTAGTGTTGGACATTGTTTAATGTGGGCCCCTGAACCGTCAAAAAGCTGGGTCCACGGCTTACATTCCACCGTGTGTGTCAAAGAGCTTGTTTTTCGAATGAAAGGCCTCTGCCTCACTGGGGGTTTACAGAAAGAACAACTTGGCCACTTCAAAGCGTCATCTTGAGGGGGCGAAGCTGCTTGCAAGCCTAACTCCATTGTCGCTGCCGCTGCAAACGCTCACAGCCCGCAACTACTTTTCATAGAAAGGGCTCTAATGCTTGCAAGAATCCGTGTGGGGACTTCCTGTTGGAAGGCAAGTTCTCCCGCCAAGCCCGCATGAATATGCATTCTGAGAGGCACGGATGCAGCTTTGCATCTTCTCAGCTAAGCCGCCGCAGGTCTATGACTTGTGTGCCTGCAACTTGGCCCAGGTTCCGAAATGTACGACGCGCTGGCGTCGTGATTTTTTTGTGAGCGCTCGCAACGTCTCTACGCTTCGCTGCTTGCAAGCTATCTTCCAGCTTGCGCCCCCGTTCAATTGAAGAGAGCTTGATTGACCGCACGGTCAGAAGGGGACAACAGACAGGAAGAAAGCGTAGCTAAGCGACAAAGTGCAAACTCCACACACCTACTGTGAACCAAGTACACCGACTAAAGCAAGGGCAAGCAAGGTCCGAGACAGTGAAACAAATGAAGCCTACCAGGGAGCAGCGCAACCTTAGCCACAAAGTCAGGGCCGGGTCAGCAGGCTGCGTGACCGCGTCAAAGAGAGAGTCCAAAGAGATTGGACAAACCTGAAAGAACGGAGCGAGGCTTGAGTGACCACGCAAACAACCCGAACAGCCAGCGCAACGCAGAACGAAGATCAGACCTAACGCCAGACGAGCGTCATCGGAGAGGAACTCTGGGACCAAAGCATTCACCCCTCTCTACGCCACGAACGAACCCCCCAAGGAAAAAGGGGGCGGAACCAAAAAATAAAACAAGGGGCTTTCGGCCATGGTGCTGTTCGCACCACGGTGGATCACGAGCCGTGGTCCAACTACTGATGGGGGTCCTGATTAGAACTAGGTACACCGCCGTAGTAGCCCGTGTAGTGTCGTGCGTTTTTTGGCTTCCGAGAAATCTGTCGAAACTGCGATCACAGCGGGGAAAGCGAGAGCACCGTCTGCCCCTCATGTAAAATGCGCCGAGACAGTGGGGAGTTTCTTGCGTTCCCGAATCCCACTGGCACGCTGCCTTTAAAAGCTCGTTTTTCCAGCCCCCACCTATCGTGTGTCAAGGATTTTGCCATGTTCAAGACCGCATGTTGCCTGGGAACCGCATGATGAACTCGGCAAAGGTTAATTCCCCAACTCTTTGTCGGATTTTCGGTTGCAGGCGAGACACAGGCTTCTGAGGAGTCAGCATCGTTTGCCAAGCAGTTTGCCATGTTCAAGACCGCATGTTGCCTGCGAACCGCATGAGGAACTCTCTTTTCAATATCCGATGGGGGGAGGGGTCCTAAGTCTGTTGTTGACCCAAAGGGTACTTCCCCTTTCAATAACCGATGGGGGGAGGGGTCCTAAGTCTGTTGTTGACCCAAAGGGTAATTCCCCAAATCTTTGTCGGTTTTTCGGTTGCAGGCAACACACAGGCTTCTGAGGAGTCAGCGTCGTGTGCCAAGCAGATGGTCAAGACCGCATGTTGCCTGGGAACCGCATGGTACTCTCTTTTCAATATTTGACGGGGGGGAGGGGTCCTTAGTCTGTTCTTCACCCTCCCCAAATCTTAGTCAACCTATGTGGGCGTACCGTGACAGCAGACACAAAGCGCGCGACGTCCAGAAGAGAGTCCGAGTAAGGCAGCCAGACAGTGAAAAAGGGACCCAGCACCGAGTGTGGAGAAGCAATGCGAGATGCCAGCTAAACGCAGCAAGATGATGAAGGCAAGCGCTAGACGAACGTCTTCTGACACCATGGTTCGGGCGCAAGAAGCTACAGCAAAACAAGACAGCTCAGCACACACACAAAGAACACCACACACCCCACCCTCCAAAAAGCAAGCAATCGCAAAAAGCACAAAAACTGGAGTTCAAGCACAAAAAGGACAAAAAACGGAGTTCGTCCCACGGGCGGCTGTGGGCGGTGGTCCAACTACTGATGGGGGTCCTGATTAGGGTCTTGGTGATTCAAGTGTTGCCTTAGTATTGCCACTACTTTGTTTAGTACTGCAAGCGCTTTTGGTTGCATTGCCAGAGCTTAGTTTAGCATTGCCTAGACTAAGTTTAGTATTGCCAGAACTTACTCTCGGGCCCCCGTGCCCCTGGTTTAAATTTTTTGTATTGCCAGGACTTACTTTTAGACTCCGAATGTTTGGTTTAGTGTTGCCTTGATTGAACTAAATGTTGCCAGGGCTTGAAAAACAAACAGCAAACAAACAACAAACAAGCAACAGAACAGCCAACAGCCAACAACCAACAACCAACAATCATCAACCAACAAGCAACAAGCAACAAGCAACAACCACCACCACCACTACCACCACCACCACAACAACAGCAACAACAACAACAACAGCAGCAGCAGCAGCAGCAACAACAACAACAGCCACCACCACCAACGACAATGACACAACGACACAACGACACAACGACACAACGACACAACGACACAACGACACAACGACACAACGACAAACGGCAACGGCAACGACAACGACAACGGGCAACGGACAACGGACAACAACCAACGACCAACGACCAACGACCAACGACCAACGACCAACGACCAACGACCAACGACCGACCACAAACCACAAACCACAAACAACAAACCACAAACCACAAACCACAAACGACAAACCACAAACCGCAAACAACAATCAACAAACAACAGAAACACAAAACAACAACACAGAAACAACAAACAACAAACAACAAAAAACAGCAAACAACAAACAAAAAACAGCACTTGGCTAAGGGCATTGAAGGCGACCCCTAACAGTCCTATTTAAACAGGATCACTGGTTGGTTTTTTTGTAGTTATCTTAAGTTTTGTGGTTCGGGGGCCGCTTGCAAAATGGCTTTCCCAGCTCTCAAGCTTTTCTTCTTGCTTTGAGCTAGCAAGAGCTTGGCTAGGCGAACCGTCCTTTAAAAGTAAAGGCTAGGGCTTTGAGTTCCAGTAACCCTCAACAGAGCTCAAGATTAAAGACACCCCCCAAACGGTCACATTGGGCAGAACCAGTGCATCTTGCGGGCAACCCCGTTTGTGTGACTGGTTGCCCTTACTGTGGCGTAAGAAAGGTATCTTAATTTTGACAGACGAACATTTCTAATGCTTGCCCGGATTGTCTGCCCGGCGATACTTTTGCCTGATTGTTCTTTACCCGTTTGTTTTTGCCCGGATTGTGTTGCTTTGCAACAACAGCTTGACATAAACCATGGTAAAACAGTGTGTAGAAGTAAGGCCGAGGAAACTTGAAATAAATCAGGGTGCCAGTGTCAAACCAGGTGCGACATTATCCTTGTTTTTCGGGGAAGCAATTTCACTGTTGCAATGTTCACTTCCAGCGGCGGCTCTACCATATCTGCCTTGCAAAGCAACGGGTGGGTTCTCGGTGTATTATTCAGAGCATATTTCCTGAGTTCCAGACTCATGTGTTTCCAAAAAATGAAAGCTTCTCTATTTGTTCAAATTGAAATAATGACTGCGGGCTTGAGACTACTTAGCAACAGGGCGGCTTCTGGGCGACTCCAGTTCGGTTTTGCTTCCACTTGCTCTAGCCTCCCTCGCAAGAACACCCAGACTTAAACTTCCGTCACGTTCTGTCCCAAATGGCTTATTTTGCAACGGCTTCCAATCGCGCTAAGAATTCCCAAAGGGGCCCGTGCCTGTTGGTGAGTTATTCAAGATATTCAAGCTAGTGTAGCTATGACTACTTCTCCAGCCCAGCCAGTGAAACAATTAAAGTAACTCGGGCAAATGGATGAAAAACAGTTCGTCTCCTTATTGTTCTACAGCTAGAAGATGTGTGTTCCAAATTGTTAACCCCAAAGGTGCCAGGCGCGGGCGCGCTTAGGGAATTCCAGGCACATCTTGCTTAATGACTCCAATCGCTCCTATTGTCCAGATTACTTCGCTTAGGTAGAGAGGTAGGCAGTTTTTTTGCTCTGTAAGGTGCGGGTGCCTTTTCGAGAATTCCAGATTCATTTTGTTTTCTGAATTTTACACATAGAATAATGGTGAATATTTACATATTGCCTAGCGCGCCACTAGTTGTTGTACTATTTGTTTTAATTATGTTAGTTATTGCCCAAGAGGCAGGTGCCTCTGAAATTGCGCCAGCCCCAGTATTTTCCTCATTATTCTAACTACTCTTACCGCTTTCAACGCCCGGACTTTTTTCGAGAAGGACGGGAGCCCTCTGTCAAAGTTCAACACCACTTTTCTATAGTTTTTCAAACAAAAGTATCTGCTCCAAAATGTAACCCATGGCGTACTTATAGATGTAGAACTGTCCTACGCATTATTCTAACGGTT